CCCCACAAGCACACCAGCTCAAGTGTCCATCCTGGGTCCCAGGCTGCTGGGAGGAAGAGGAGCCCCAAGCCCCGGTCATGGAGGAAGGGAGCGGGGAAAGGGGGCTCCTCCCGGGCCACGGAACCGCCTCCTGGTGCCACCCCCCACACCCCCGCTCACTCCCGCTCTCCCCCCGACGACTAACCGGCGAGGCGCCCTTTGGCATATACATGGGAACCTATTTGTAATTCTCTGTGATATTCTCCAGGCCCGGCTTGATGGCAGGGCCCGCGGTGGACAAGCCCTGTTTGTTGAAGTTCCAGGGACTCCTCTGCTTGGGTTTTGAAGTCTGGGGAGGTGGCAGCTCCCGAATGATGGGACCAAGGCGGGAGTGTGTGGGGGCAGGTGACGCGTGAGGAGAAGGGGAAGGAGTTGGAGAGGCGGAAAAGGGATGCAGACGGAAGGAGGTAGGTGGGGCAGACAGGCAGGAGAAGAGAGAGGAGAAAGAGGCAGAGACTGAGCAAGTCAGGGAGGGGGAGACAGACAGACAGGAAGAAGGAAAGAGGGAGATGGAGGGGGAGAAATACGCAGGGGAAGAGGGAAAGGAGGGAGGAAAAGAGAGGGAGGGAGGGAGGAGGGAAAGGGGTAAAGAGGAAGGAGAGACGATGTGGGAAGGAGAGAGACGGGGCAGACAGCAGGCCTGGGGGCCAGGGGTCTCTGGGAGGGAGGGAGGGAGGGACAGAGGGAGGGAAGGAAGAAGGAAAGGACACAGGGTTAGGGACGGAAGTGTGAGGAAGAAACGGAGGAAGACAGGGAGGGAGACAAGAAGGAAGGAAGGAAGGAGAAGGAAGGAAGGAAGGAAGGGAGGGAAGGAAGGAAAGAGAGAGAGGGGAGGAGAAAGTAGAGAGCAAGAAAGACAAGAGAGGAAGGGAAAGGGGGAGGAAGGAAGGAGGGAGAGAACGAAGGAGAGAACGAAGGAGGGAGGGAGGAAGTGAGGGATGGAGGGAAGGAAGGAAAAGGAGAGAAGGGAGGAGGGGGAGGGAGGGAGGAAAGGAGGGAGGCTTTCCTTCCTATCTTCTCTCCTATTCCTTCCTTGTCCT